CGGACACAAAGGTAACTCGCTAAGCCATCCTTGACAGCACTAGCCATTCACACTGTCATGCAACACACACTCATACATGCAAAAAAAAGAAAAAAACAGCGGACACAAAGGTAACTCGCTAAGCCATCCTTGACAGCACTAGCCATTCACACTGTAATGCAACACACACTCATACATGCATAAATATTAAATGATAAATATTAAATCTTCCATCTGCCAACTTGGTGAGAGGTGGAACTAGGGTGGAAGTCAACACATATGTACTCCGATGCATGTGTTTTTTGTCAACTATACGCTGACTTTATTATTTGAAGCAGCGACCAACCAGCAGCAAAGTGCGCTGCTTGCTGAGAACTAGGGTTAAAGCACCAGTGCATGCCAGCTATCGGCCGCGGGCCCCTTTTGGAGGCATTCCTTTCCATGTGGATTTTTGTCTGGGAACACCGACATTCTTCCTCTCTCAACGAGACAACACAATTGGTTGTGGGGCTCCTCCTCCGCATTTTGGCCAGTGCTCAGTGTTGAAGGTGCATCAAGAACGGCATCGCTTGCATGTAGATGAGGCCCTAATGTTACTGTGAGCATCAAGATTTGAATTTCGAATGGACGACCTGTTTATGCGTCAATGTGTACCGTTCATCCACGAGGGGTAAGGAGCTCCATGACTTCGGAGTCCTTGCATAAATGCATTCCCCATTGTTTGTTCGTTTCTTACGCAAGAAAAAAAAAGGGGGGATCAGAAGTTTAAAGTTTAAACATGAGCCACACTAGCAATTTGGTTTAAGAGTGGGGTTATTCTGGGCTGACACCGCTGGAATTTATAGCATCTATGGATATTGAACGTGGCGGCATTTCTGGACCGTGGTCATGTTTACTGCAAGAAGGATGTTCCGTGAACTCATAATGATCATGCCGTCTGTATTACTTGGTCGGTGTTTCACTTCATCATCACATCTTTTGACTGCATCATCATATAAGGAATCTAAAAATTCAAAACTATGCACTGGAGCGGGCACAAGACGGGGCCTCCCAAGTCTGATCAGAAACATGGGGGCATACCCAGCATCATGGCTGAATGATAAACGCATGAGGCTGTTGAAAAACAGACCGTGAGTTACAATCCTGATGGATACAATAATGCTACCGTCTTCACCCAAATAGAATGCCCGATCATTATAGCTGTATTTGGGGCAACTTTCAGTCCAGATGCAGCTGTAATGACCGGGCGTTTCATGTACTATGTGAACTCTGACGCCACAGTTCGTGCCGGCACACGGACAAAAAAGTTGTAGGCTTTCCCGAAGTTTCTTGGTCGAGGCATCTTCGTTGCACTTAACGATCGCCTGTATTAAGCCACCAGTACACTTGGAGAATTGGAATGAGCCTCTCCGAAAAGTTAGGGGACTCGAGGCAAGCCTCCCTGGGGGCAAGCATATATTTTTTATTTTTTTTTGTTTAAGGCGGGGCCTAATGCCACCCCATGGGACATTTTAATTTTTCCTACTGGCCCTTCAGATGGGCTGTCCCCAGCCTCCAAAATTTTAGGACTTCGTTGCACTTACGATCGCCTGTATTAAACCACCAGTACTTGGCCCAGCTATCGGCCGTGGCGGGTTCCCGTTAACGCGCCACGCCTTTAGGGCTTCGGGGTACCGGAACACAATGGCTGGAAGCGCCAGCCAAAAAAAAATTGAAACAGTAACCCGGCGCTTCGGCAAAAATTGGCGCGCAGGGGCATTCCAGGCTCGGCATCGATAGCTGGGCCAAGTCCTGGTGGTTTAAACCACCAGACTAGCACCACTACATCTGGAGAATTGGAATGAGCCTCTCCGAAATGTTGGGGGACTCGAGACAAGGCTCCCTGGGGGCGGGCACACCTTTTTTTTTTTTTTTTTTTTTTTTTTTTTAGGGCTGGGCCTAGTGCCACCCCATGGGACATTTTCATTTTTCCTACTAGCCCTTCAGATAGCCTGTCCCGAGCCTCCGAAATTTTAGGAGAGGCTCAATATCGGATTCTCAACTTGGCTGGTGCCATGTACTGGTGGTTTAAGGGTCTTTGTTTTACATGATCAGTATGATTCTCCTGTTAAACCACCAGTACCTAGCGGTTGTTAAGGCCCGTGGCTCAGCCTACCGGTAACCCGAACCTTGCCGAGAGTCGACCTACCGGTAGGTATACAAAAAACAAAAACAAAAAACGACAATTCTTCTGCCCAAAAAAACAAGAAATCGAAAGCAAAGAAGGCCCGTGGCTCCACTACTCTTGACATTTGCAAAACGAGAGTGAATCTTCAGTGCTAACATGGAAAGATACACCGTGATGATTTTGTCTTTTCTGCATGTCGAGCGAGGCCCACTGACCGTGACTGACGCGGAGTTCAGATAGATAGATAGATAGATAGATAGAGAGAGAGAGAGAGAGAGAGAGAGAGAGAGAGAGAGAGAGAGAGAGAGAGAGAGAGAGAGAGAGAGA